GCATCTTCTGAGTTCAGAGCAGGAAGCAGAAAGGGCGGTGGGCATCAAATCCACCGTTCACGCTCCAGCAGACGTTCCCGACAGGCTCCAGATCAGACCAGACCCCGGCCCTGTGTCCTGGCCCGAGTTGCTAGTGAATGCAGCACATAAGTGAGTGAGCCAGAGCATGAGAAGGTGACAGGAGTAAGAATGGGGGTCCGGTGAGACGGTGACATTCGAGCAGAGACTTTTAAACCTCTAGGGTTAGGTTTTTCCGAAGCACGTTGACCCGCTCCCGACCTCTGGAGCCGCGCCGCCCCCGCCTGCACCCCTCCTTGAGTAGGCTCCCACTCAGGGCCATGTCACCTGCTGTGTCCTCAGGGGGGGTTTGAGGTAGGGTGGATTCGGGCCAAGCCCGGAGCTTATCTTCTAAACAGTAGGCCAAATTGAAAGAATGCACCAAAAATTGTGACATTAGCCCTGTCAGACCAATTACATTTTGAAGATGTTGAGTACTTTAGAATCTGGAGCAACTCAGATTTCTTCTTCTTTTTATAAAAAGTCGGCACCCTAGGAAAGGATTAATCTGCTTTTACCTCATTGTTCCAATAAGAATGAATGTACTTAGACGTTGATTAAGTATTTTTTCTTCTGACCACAGAAAAGTACGTCCAAATCCTTAAGTAATTGCATTCCTGCAGCAGACAGCTCTCGCTTTCTTCCCTGGCAGAGAGGCCGGCTTGACCCCGGCCTGCGTGTCCCGTGCGCGGGCCTCAGCCAGAGCTCCAGGCGCTTGAGTCCCTTCATGCTCACCCAGCTCGACTGAGAAAGAAGCGTGACGTTCCGAAGCAGTTTAGTCCACAAAGCTCTTGGCTTTCTTTGATAGCTTGAGAGAATACTTAAAGTACTAAAGTACTAAGTCTACATTTAGGAGAAGAATATTGTTTTAACCTAATCCAAAAATTTGATTTCAAATGATGAGCAGAAGTTAAAATGTCTGCATTTATGAGTTTTCAGTGAAATAAAATGTCTTACCTGACTGTCATGAGCAGTAGCATGAACAGTCAGCTACTGAACATAGCGCCGTGAGACTGTCGGGCTCGGCAGCTGTCCATGACCCCTCAGTGCGTTCTGTGCGCGTGGTCTCCCGCACGCCTGCCACCCCCAGAAGCGTGAGCACCAGGACCTGCATGTGTTCGCCCGTTCATGTCCAGCAGCACGGGCCTGTCACGATCTGGTGATCGGCTCACTGTGAAATTGGGCGCTGGGGTCAGTGACTTGCTGAACCTGCCTGTCTGCATGGGAGGGGCCTGTTTGAGCCTAACCTTGACGTGCCAGAACCATGCCAGAGCAGCCCGCGCTCTGTACTCCCTGGGTGCATCTTAGCCAGGCAGCTTTGAGATCCACTTCAAGTCGGAAAATGGTGTCATTGGTACGCTGTGGTGTTTTTTAACTTTATATGATACATATTTTCCTTTTATGAGACACTCTTTTTTTTTATGAGATGTTCTTGATTCTCTTCTTTTATGCTCTGCCATCACAGAAGATAAGATGTGCCATGTTCATCAGTTTTATTCCTTTCACATATTGCTAATAAATACAGATTCCTAGAACAATTAAGCAAGAAGAACCAGAAAATTCTGCAAATGAACAATGAGGAGAGAGGGCTTTATAGTTACCAGATAGTCGAATACAGTATGAGGCTTTAATTGTTTAACACTGTGTGGCACTGACATGAATAGACAGATTGGTATAACAGGATCATTTCCAGAAAGAAATCTCTATTGATCTAAAATGTCTTTAGATAAATTACTAAGTTTCCATGTATATTTAGAGTTTTGTGCTATAAAATGTAAAGTCCTCATACCCATTGATTGCAATTCCAAGAATTTATCTTAAGCATATTCTTAAATTATGTATAAACAAGGATATTTGTGCTTTACTAAATGACCATAGCGTGGAAAACCGGAGACATCTAAATTCTAGAAAGTCCAAGTCTGTCCCCAAACTTGTTTTTCTCTTCAGCCCTTTAATTTTAGCTATTCTAATGGATACGTTAGTATCTAACTGTGGTTTTAATTTGAATTTGTAGTAACTGATGACATTGTGCACCGTTTCATGTACACGTGAGGCACTGATAGTGAAATATTTTAAGTCATTTTCCTTGTTTTGGATAATATTTATTTATTTATACATAGAAGAAGTGGGGTGTAGGCCAGAACTGTGGGGACTGAGAGAATTCACCAGAGACAGAAAGGGGAGCAGAACAGGTGGCCCCACTGAACTACACGGCTGAGGGGAGTAGCAGAGAAACAGGAGAAGTCTGCTGCGCTACATGTGGGTCACTCCCTGGCCGGGGATCGAACTCACGCCGCAGCAGTCACAGCGAGATAGCTCTGATACTTAACCCTGTGCCACTAGGGAGCCCCTCATTTGCCTTTTTAAAAATAGTTGGGTTAATGGCCCTCCCTGGTGGCGCAGCGGGTTAAAGCACAGCACTGAGAATCTAAAACCGCTTCCGCATGAGTTCAATTCCCGCCTGCCCTGGAGGTGACCACATGGCGTGGCAGACCTCTCCTGACCCGCCCGCTGCTCCCCTCAGCAGTGTACTTCGTCGATCTGCCTGTTCTGTTCCCCACTCTGTCTCTGGTGGAGCCTCTCTCCGCCCCTGAGCTTCTGGCCTGTACCCCAGTTCTGTATGTACAAATAAATAAATCTAAAAAAAAAAAAAATAGTTGGGTTAAAATGCATGACTGGATTAAAAAGATGTGGTCCATATACACAGCGGAGTATTACTCAGCAACCAAAAAAGAGAAACACATGTCTTTTGCAGCAACATGGATGGAGCTGGAAAAGATCATGCTTAGTGAGATAAGCCAGAAAGAAAAGGAAAAATACTGGATGGTTTCACTCATAGCAGGAGTATAACGGGACAGGCGAGAAAACAATGATAATGATGAACAGCTATAGACCAGAGACATTTTGTGGGGGTGGAGTGGGGAGTGGGGTTAAAGACAGTGCAGGGAGGGAAATGCACTGGATTTTGGTGATGGCACCAGGGTGATTTGGTGATGGGAAGCCCAGGGGGGTTGCAACTGAGATTGGAAAAATGCACAAAATGATGCAAAAATAAACTATTATATGATTAAAAAAAATAGTTGGGTTGCCTGTTATTGCTGAGTCATTAAATTCTTCATGTGTTTTAGCTATGACTCTTGTCTAACATGTTTTGATAACATCTTCTCCGAGTCTTTGGTTGGGTTTGCCTGTTTCTTTTTTTAATAATTTTTTGAAGGCAGGGTGTTACGTCTTTTTTGATGAAGTCAAATTCACCTGTTTTTTTTCTTTTATGGTTAGTGCTTCTGTTGCACTAAGACATGTTTGTTTTCTCTAAAGTCAAGAAAACACACTTCTTGTTTTCCCCCAAGGGCTTTATAGCTTCAGGTTTAAATATGTTTAGCTTTTTATCCCCGTCAGGTTTTCAAAATAGTCTCTGACCAGAAAGGACAAAAAAAAAAAGAGTGCGTGCGCGACTTGAGACTGTTGTCTGGCTTCGCTGATGACAGCCTCACGTCACACTGTCCCTCCGCCCAATAAACCAGTTTCTCATTGACTGAATGACTGCTTTGATAAGATCAGTATCTGGCTTTATTACACTGCTCAAATAAACTATTAATTCATTTCTAGGTAATTCCATGCCATGACTACTCATGTTAAACAAGCCTGTGGCCCACTGGACGCTGCCCAGCACATGCTGCAGCTCCGGGTCTTCAGTGCAGAGCCCTGCTCCTGGCCTTCACCTGGCGTGCTCTCTCCCTCAGCCGGCAGCCCCACCTCCTCTAGAAGGAAGCCCAGAACGTGGCCTTTGAGGCCCCCAGCCCGTAATCCTGGCTCCCCCCGTGTGCAGAGACCTGTTCCTTGCTGTCCCTCAGATCATCTTGCTCTAGGCCCAGTTGCTGGTTCCTTCCGCCGGGCTGTTCCCACTTCTCTCCTCCTGCCCTTGACGTAAGCCTGCCAGTCTGACACACCCCCACTAGAGCTCCGTCTCCTTGACGCTCTTCCAGCCTCTCCAGCAGAAATTGATGTTTGCCCACATTTTGTTTATGTACCCTCTCTTCCATCACGAGCCTTTAGACTTCTGAGTCCTTTGAGCGCTGGGGAGCCTGGGGGTCATCTTGTAGCTAAGTGGCGCTTCAGGTGGTGACTGACCCAGCACGCAGGTGTGGAGCCTTCCGGATGAGAGGCAGACTGCTGCCCAGCCTGAGGGGGCCCTTGGGGGTGGGCGCAGCACACACTGGTGTTTTTCAAACTGAGGTGGGATCCCTTTGCATGTGTGAAAGCAGTCTTGGTGGGGCAAGAATATCATTTTTAAAATAAATGAAATAGAGTAGAAGAGAAAGTATAATCTAGCAGAGGTAGCATTGTATAGTGAAAGATTTGTCTGTGTTTGTGTAGGTTTACTGAGTTGTGATATAAAGTGTATTTCTTACTGTGGGTTGTAGCGATATAATGCATTTTAAAATTTAGAGGCATTTGGGGTTTTAAATAACTGATACTTCAGAGAGTTCCCTCTGCGTAATTCCCTCCGTCGGTGCCCTCCTGTTCAGTGTGTGCCACCTTTGCCCAGGGAGTGGCTTCCTCAGCACCTGCTGTGTAGTCTTTACACATAAATTACGACGCTCTCACAGCTGGAAAGTGATTTTACTTTGTTATTAGCCATCATTTAAAAGACAGCAGCAGTTTGGAACTGACTAGCCTTAGCCGTCAGCGCGACAAGAAACAGGTATTTCCTCTGGAAGGAGAAATGCTGCTCTTCGGCACCAACACAGGCGCCTGACGTGGTGGTGGCAGCCTTAGGGAGCCTTGGCGTCTGCGCCCTCAGATGGGAAAGCGGTCGTCAGAGTCCCCTTGACAGTGGGGTTGCGATCCACTTCATTTCAATCTGTGTCCCAAAGCACCACGCCCTGGCGCCCCCAGGGCCCCTGGGCCACTAATGCCCGTGCTGTTCTCTCACTCCCCAGGGTCAGTACAGGCCGTCTGACTTGCTGTGCCCCGAGACCTACGTGTGGGTACCCATGGAGCAGTGCCTGCCGTCGCTGGAGAACGCCAAGTACTGCCGGTTCAACCAGGACCCAGAGGCCGGTATGTGCGGGCCGCGCGTCCGGAAGTCAGCGGCGGGCTTCAGGGCCCTGTGCTTGTGACCTTGGTCCCGGCTGGGTCCAGGCAGCTTTTACACAGGGCTGAGAGTGCACGTGCGAGGACGGGGAGACGCACGCCGCTCTGGGCGCCTCTGAGCACTCACACTCATAGTAGCAGTATGCGGAATCGTAAGCGCTGTGTTTTTTACTGTTCTGGGTTGTCCCCTAACATGAGTTTTTCTGCGCTTTGAGAACTGACACTGTTACCCTTTCCGTATTTTTACAACTACCACAGTGCATGCAAATTGTTCACTAGGTTATTTAGTCACTAGATTATTTAGTGGTGAAGATGGAAATATTGACCGTCTGGACTTAATAAAGTGGTGGAATCGTTTCACGGGGCCAGCAGATGGGGGTGGGTTTTCCGACGATACTCTCTTGACTTCTGCAAGCATCTTGGTTCCCTTTTTCCTCTGCTGGTCCCTTTCTGTCCCTGCTGCCGCCTCCTTCCTGGCTAGCCCCCCACCATATAGACCTTGGTCCTCGGCCTGGATGCGCCGTGCTCTGGTAATGCACACGCTGAGTGCAGCCTGCAGTCAGACGCCTGCAGTTAGACCTCGGCTCCGTCATCTGCTGGTAGCTGCGCCTCAGCGTGCTCAGTGATCTCCCTGGCTCATGTTCCTGGCCTGCAAAATTAGGGTGCCAGAAGGACCAACCTTGCTGAGCTGTACTGAGGACAAGTCAGCTCCTCGCACCAACAGCAGTAGTGTGGTGGTGGTTAGATCAGTGGGGAGGCTGCCTCCGTGTGGCCACAAGGTCTCCTCTGCCCTTTGTCGCTGGGGTGAGAGGTGGGGGACTAGGGGGTGGCTGGGGCGGCCTTCGGCAGCCTTCGTTTTGCCGCCCGGATCCACAGCCCTTCATGCCCCAGCATATTTCACTGACCACTTGAGTCCTCACAGCCCACCAGAAGGGACACCCTGTCCACGTGAACAGTGTTCTTTCAGCCACCTGTGGTCCCCATGTGGAAAAAAAGAAGGAAGGCATTTTGCACACCCCTGGGGCGGGCAAGGGAGCGAGTGGAGGGACGAAAGAGGACGAAACAGAGCACGGAGAAAGCTGTGCGCTCCCTTGTGCTGAGATGTCCACCTCTCCACAGACCAGATTCTTGGAGGAACCTGGGTCGTGGGCTTTGGAGAATATCTCCTCGGAAGGCCGCTCTGAGGTCAAGAGCATTTCTTCCACTTGGTGTCACCAGGGCCTGATGGGGTGGCCAGGGGCCAGGCCGACGCCTGTGTCAGGCACTCCTGGTCCGTCAGCTTCTCTGCCTGGAGAGAGCAGAGAAGGGCTTTATGGTTCCCACAGCCCAGCTATTAATCAGAATCTGATTGCTTTGTTCTAGTAAAGTTACACCTTATTGATCAAATAGATACATTGCTTAAAAGCAAACACTGTATTTGTCATCTAGTTTGGGCCAGGCTCAAAGCCAAAGACAATAGTATTTTAGAGGAAAGCAAATATTCACTCCCTATTTTTTTCCTTTTGCTTTTTCCAAGGCTAGGTCAGAGCCAGTTCCTTAGGGTGAAAGTTGCTGAGTGCCTTCCCTCACTGTTTCTGTCC